ACACACACACACACACACACACACACACACACACACACACACACGCTGGACCCTAGCGGCAGCCAGGTTTGGAGCCAGAGCAGGCCCAAATCATCACCTCAAGTTCCTGCACCATTGGGTTTGCTGTCCCTCAACTCTAGAAGGAGCTTACAGCTCAGTAACACCTTTGGCTCATTCACATAATTTCCTAAAAGACCATGTAACCACATTATAACTGTGAAGCGCAACACAGCCTGGGGTCTACTTTGTCATTTCCTTTCCAGCCGTAGAAAGGGGTCCTGCTGGCACAGGGGGTCACACGCTGGGTTGCTAGCACAAGACCAGCAGTCTGAAACCAACAGCCACTCCGAGGGAGAAAGATGAGACCCCGAATCCTGTTAGAATGAACGATCTCGGAAACCCACAGGGGCAGTTCTAGCTTGTCCTATACGGTCGCGGTGAGTCAGCATTAACTCGGTGGCTGAGTTTGGTCTGGGCTTGGTTTTCCGACCTTGGTCTGCATATTTGTCTCCACATTTATTATTACGGTGACAAACAGATGTCATCTACATTTCTTCTCCCTCACAATGAACCCTGATGCACACTGTAAGGAGATGGGAGTGCTGTACACGCCTGTCCTTCCCCTTACACGTTCACCTCCCTGGCAGAGAAAAGCCAGAACTGGTTTCTATCAAAGTACAGCAGGCTTTCATTTCAGATGAGACAGCGCTGGGCCTTCTCACGCGGCTGCCTGCTCAGTGCGGGAAAGAAAACATAGGTTTCGGCTTGTTGGTTTGTTTTCCGATCACTTCGTTCACCCTGGTGCCTAGCGCGGTACCTGGCGGTCATTATTTCATAAGTGAGCAATCAGCAGTCCTGTCTCTCCCTGAATGCAAGTTTGCTTTGTGGAACCACTTCGTTAAACTGAAGATGGTGAGTGAGCATGAAATTGGCGAGGCCGGCATCATCAGCTGCTGAAGGGTGATAACCGCGCTACTGTGGTCTCACCGTGTGTCTGTTTTCTTCTTAAATGGAACACACTAATCCATCTGAAATTAATTGCAGTGGAACATGCATTGTTTGGTTTCCATTAATCTTTTAAATATGTTTTAATCAAGTTATCATAACTCAGTTAATATTTTCCTATTATGTCATTTTGAAAAAAACTGTTGGTGTCATGCCAAGAATTGCATGGAGCTCCCTAGAGGGTCTGCTTTCTGTGTTCATCTGTACGCACATATCATCACGTCTGCATTAGTGCTGTTTTTGTCATATTCGCTAACCCTAATCACACCCAGGCTGTATCTTCCTCCAATGATTTCCTGTTTCCTAAGGTACTCATTGACTATTGGTTTTTTGCAAAAGTAATTTAAAAATTATTTTGTTATACTATTTAAGAGACTGTCATTCAATATCTACCTAGTAAGAAAAATGTCCAAATGATGTGGGGTTGGTTTTTTTTTTTTCCAGCCAGGTTAAAATAAAGTAGATATTTAACCAGGACCCATTGCATGGTCAATTGAGATGTTGGTGCCTATGGGTGGCAGGGGTTGGGGGTAGAATAGAACACAAGGAGCCAGTTTTATAGGAAATCAAGGCCATGGACGTGAATAGCACATATAGAAACTAGATAAAGACCTAGCACTGCTTTTCAAGTAAGCTCGTCAATTCAACACCTTCCATTTTCCTGCCGCCTCGATTATAAGTTGAAGGGGCCGAGGACAGCTGATGTGTATTCTTCAGGGATTCATCGGTTTCATCAGGATTTTGTACTTTTCCAATCCACTGGGGAAGAATTCACAATATCCCAGTGTGTAAAATCTCACAATTGCCCAGTGGCTAAAAATTGTCCAGAGGATCGAGTGGCTGGATTTGAACCCACTTCTCTCGTTCTTAAAACCCAGTTTACTCCACCTGGGGTAGTAATAATGCCTGTCTCATCAAGTTGTTAGGAGAAATTTGGAAATGGATTTTTGTACCGGATTTCAACAGGACTGGGCCAATGAATGGTAGTGACACTAAGCAGGTTTTGTGCTATAGGTCTGGCAGAGGCGAACTGACCTTGTTTTCCTGCGGAGGGTCTAGCCCGTGCAGGTTTGCATGGGCGCCGTGACTCAGGAAGGCTGCGCTCTCATACCTGGCCCACACCGTTATCAAGGAGACGCTCCTGGGCTTTTGGTTCCTGACTTATTTATTGTTACTCTCGGGCAGCCATTCCCCCCCGGCCTCCTCGCGAAAATAGCTGGATTTCATTAAAATTCAATCTCTCTTGATACCATCTCTGCTGGATCTGAGGGGACTGCTACCAGCAGAGCTTTAGCGACCTGATTAAGAACAGATTTGGGTTGGAATTTTAGAAGTGCTCTAAAATTACCTTTTATAAAGTTTCTCTCCACATCTGCCCACTCCTTGGTGGGGGCACTCAGCCAAGCAGCCAGTGCACTTCTCCAGGTGGACGTTGAGCTGAGTCTCTCTCTCTTGTTCCAGGTGCGAGCTCTCTCCTGGCGGCCCGAGCCCCCACTCCTGGGCCCTCTGTATGACTGACGCCAAAGTCTGCCATGGAACCGGGCCCTGCCCTGGCCTGGCTCCTGCTCCTGAGCCTGCTAGCCGATTGTCTGAAAGCCGCCCAGTCCCGAGACTTCACGGTGAAAGACATTATCTACCTCCACCCTTCAAGTAAGACCTCACTCTCTTGGCACGGAAATGCCACTGTCTAACAAACAGGTTGAAAACGGGCCAGGAGAAGGCCGCCTTAGACACCTTTGTGATTTAATTGGAGGGGTGTGGTAAGGACCCTCACTTTTTCAACACAATGTACATGACTACTCAGGAAGCACATGATCAGGCTGTTTTCTCCATCCCCCACACCATTTACTAGAGCCGTGCCTTCACCCCAGTAGTTTGGTGCCTACTCGTTAACTCCCTGGGCCGCATACCCCTGGGCTGCATATCCGCCGGCGTGGTGTGGCGCACCTGTCTACTTCCTTTTCGTACCTTCCTGAGAGGAGGCTGCAGGGCTGGTTACTGCCGGCTAGGAAGGCGCTTCTCTTCTCTCCTCCAGCCCTGCTTCTTGTGGTGTGAAGCCGAAGTGAAGAAGAGCCGGCCTCTTAGGTTTGCTTGCCAGGCTTCTTGGCTTCTCTGAGATTCTTGCTGGCTTTACTAAGAGACGGTGTCGTAATGTAGCCCACCGATCGGCCCCCACCAGACGTTTCTCTGAGGCCGTGATTACAGTTCTACTCCCAGAAGGGAAGGAAAGGCGATGTGACTGCGTGTGCTCACATGAACGAAAGCAAACCACGCAGGCAACCACGCCGTGTCTGCCCCGTGGCACGGGGGTCGGTGGCTGTTTGGAATGAGGCCTTTGAAGGATCAGGTCTTTGAAGGAGATCAGAGGGAGCGGCCCTCGCGCTCCAGAAAAACTGGCAGAAAGGCTGCCCGTGTGGCCCGTGTTCATGGAATAGAACCATGACCTGATTAGAAGGCGCTCGCCGTATGTTAAGACACCGTGGGGTTTTCTGATGTGATTTTGAAATATGTAGGACAGAAGTCATTGCTACATCAGACTCACTGTTGGCGAGCAGATCTGGCGTAAGCCCTCTGGCGAGCCTCTGTCACCGGTCGTGAGGACTGGGAATTCTCGGTGCATTGAATGGACTGTGAATGCGTGCCTCCTCCGTGGCCAGCGCCTGGGTCACTCTGCCACTTTGAATTCAGAGCTTGCTGCACATTTTTCTGCAGCACTCCTGAAACTTGGTAGTATATACATTTTAATTTTGGTTTATAATAAACAGGTTTCTGTAAACCCTGGACCATACACCATACTTGAAAGAAATAGGAGATGACTTTGATTTGTAAATCATTACGTGATTCAAGAGGTTGTAGGTGGAGGAACAGGCAGTTTGCTTTGGGTCTCGGTGACAGAACCAGACCTCCTTCACGTTAGATGTGACAGCTCAGGACCTGCCCTGGGAGAAGTGGGGGGAAGCTGGATGTGAGGGCAACCCCCGGGCTCTCTATACCAACCGCGGAGACACTCGCTTCTCGTGGGCCCAGAACCACCACTGGAAAGAGCAACGGAGTGAGACCAACACCAGGTTGGGAAAGTTCCCCCGTCTGGGACTGACCTCGTTGTCTGGTTTCCTGGTCTCCGAAGCTTCGAAGCCTTGAAGAGAAAGGAAGCTCCTGACTGTCAAAGGGAAGGGGCCCGCCTCGTGACGCCCTCTCCCATCATTTGTACGTGTCTGTGGCTTGGTCACGATGCCTTGCTTCCTGGCGCGTGATTCAAGTACTGAAGCTTAATGAAGCCCTTCAAAGGGGGTGGGGGACTTTCCGCTTGATATGAAGAGAAACAAAGCTACTTGTTTGGTTGTCTGGCACACATCGGATACGAGCTAGAACCGTTTGATAGCTGAAGTGGCTTTGACCTGTTCCTGGCCTCCATTTCTTTCCCTGGAATAGAAAACGTTTCGGAGAATTTCAAACATCTCTCTGGTTGTGTGTCCCGAGTTTTTTGGGTTTTTTTAATCCTGTGCACCCAAGAGCCTTAGCCTATCCCTGCAGGTGGTTTGCCTGTGCCCAGGCAGAGAACCTCTTAGTTCACTCAAAAACCGTCCCTATATAAATCCTAGAGGCTAAGGAGACCTTCTAGAAAGCTACCAGGAGACCCACTTCTGCCAAGACGTATGTTCTTACTATGAAACTGTACTGACTGTATTGCCAAGTGGGCTAAGAGAAGTAAAGTTATTAATTTCTAGAATGTTTATATTTGCCTCCAGTCTCCAAGAACAATGGGAATTAATTAATTGGGCAAGAATTGAAAAGAGTTGGCGTGCATTTCACACACCAGCATCCTTTTCAAAATGAGATCCCCTTCTCCCCACATTTCCAGTGACTGAAGGCCTTTGTCCGGAGAAATGTTCCAAGAGATGCAGACAAAGACTAAACCCTTTCCGATGCCTTGCAAAGGCATGGTGGCTGGTTGAACTGTGGCTGACCACAAGAGCTAATGGACAGATTAGGTTACAGGAAGTAACTGGGCACTTCGGCGTGCCTTTTCCCTTCACAATCGCCTTCTCTTGAGGGACCAGGGACGTATGGCCTGAAATACAGAGCACTAAGCTTATTAACTCTGTGATCAAGAGCCAAACTTGATTCATTCACAGCTGGGGCAACAACAATTTGAAACTTCACTTGTTCGGTAAGGCTTTGAAGTAACAAAGCAGGAAAATGGCACCCTCTCTTTGGAACCTCTTTCTGTCCTTTTTCACAAACCTTTATCTGATACAGTATCAACTCGCAGGAGACTGGAGAGAGCTGTTCTTCTATGGACCCAGGCTATGGCTCAAGAGTACCTGAGGGAAGAAATTAACCATTTCCTCAGCTCTTGGGCTACAGTTGGCCACTGTAAAGCTTAGGATGTGTGGGGATTTGCCATTGAAAAGGATGTAGTTATTCAGTAACCAGGCTACCTGCCAAGAAGTACGTAAAAATTCCTATCAAATATTAATCTCTGACCTTTGAGAGGCTACACAGGTATGGCATAATAAAACTCTCCTGCAATGAGATCCCTTGGTTACTTGCCAATGACACATACTGGTCTACACATTCAGAGAGAAAGACATTAAAGCCCAGCTGTTTTAGCTTTTAAAACCAAACCAAAGGCCACTGCGGAGTCTTTTCTGATGCACAGCAACCCTGTAAGACAGAGGAGGAGCACTCCCTAGCATTTCCGAGACTATAAACTTGGCAGAAGCAGACAGCCTCGTCTTTCTCCCGTGGGCCACTGGTGGGTTAGAACTCAAATTTGATGTGCTTTAATGTGCCACTGGTCTTACAAGAGAAAAATGTGAAGAGTTCGTTTGATGATGCAAATCTGGGAACAATGCAACTTATTAGTGGTAGGCTCTTAAGAATGTTTATTCTCCAAGAAGTTGGATCATCAGACTTCATTCAAAATTCTTTTTTTTTTTAATTAATCAATTTATTGGGGCTCATACAATTCATCACAATACATAGATCAATTGTAAAATTCTTAACATATCTCTTCAATGGGAAAGTTTCCAGGAATAACTAATCTCACACTCCAGCCAACAGTTTCACTGGTTGCTGTGACAGACAGATAAAATTGGTTGTCTTAGGAAATAAATCATGGCAGCTGAAGGGGTGCGGCTTAGCTTTCCATCATAAACCTTGGTGTGTGGGTGTACGTACATGGTCATCCTTCGCAAAATGCTCTCGTTTGACAGATTGTTTTCATTTTTCAAAATGCGCTCTTTGATCCTTCTGCTTTACGTCTTACAAACCATCTTAAAGCTAGATCTTGGAGAGCTACATACAGCTCATATGTGTTTTGATTGGTCATAAAGATATCTTTAATAAATCCAATCACAAACCAAACTCCCTGTTGTCGAGTTGAGTCTAGAGGACAGGGTAGCTCTGCCCCTGTGGGTCGACAAGACAGTAACTCTTTACGGGAGTGGAAAGCCCCGTCTTTTCTCCCATTCAATCACAAAAATGCCCTACCAATATCTTGTACATGGTTTCTCATCATGTTATTTCCTAAAGCAAAGTCGGCAAACATGGCCACGAGAATACAAGTGGCTTTGAAATTAGAGCATCTGTTTGTTTTCAAGTCTTCAGACATGCACTTAACCGAACTAGAATCTTCTCAGATGGAAACCACTTGTCCAGGTTGTGGGACACAAAGCTACGGGAATGATTTGCATGTAGTTTTACGAAACCTACTTCCGTGTAGTTGTACTTCATAAGAGAGGACAGCAAGTCCCGTCATAGCGACATCCCCTTCGGGGACTGTTGCGGCATGAGGGCCGGATCTGAGCACCTTTCCATCCTTCTCTCCGTTTCTAAGACATCCCACGCCCTCACAACCTGCTCGGGAAGACGAATCCACTCGTCGGCACACAGGAGTCCCCACTGGCCCCATAAAAAGGCCCAGATATATTGTCTTTTCAGACGTCAGTGATTTTTGATCAGACTCGGTCATGGGATATTATCACAGTCAGTTTTGTGAAATGTTGCAAACAAGTTCATGGATGGGCAGCTATTCAAGGCAAGGTGAGAATCAAAGTTATCTCAGGATCATAATTCTGGCCTTAAGCTGCTGCCTCCTCCTCCATTTGTTTTTGAGAACATACTTAATTGGTTCCATGTGGGCAAAGCAATTTACCCCAGATGATTATTTTCCCCAGTGGGATATGCTTGCTCAGCCATCTGCGAGGAAACAGTTGTCTCCTGAGGATGAACTGCTTGAGCCTTTGCCACTTTCAAATAGGCCAGGTGATTTTACAAATTAGCAGGGCTTGGAACCTGTTCAGAAGTCCTGGCGGTGTCGTGGGTTGTGTTGGTTAGCAGTTTGAAACCACCAGCTAGCTGCTCCTTGAGAGAACGATAAGACTTTCTACTCCTATACAGATTTACAGTCTTGAAAAGCCACAGGGATAGCCCTATTCTGTTTTATAAGGTCTCTATGAGTCAGAATTCACTTTTTTTAAAAAATTGGTTCATTCTGGTTTGACACACCCCCACCCAGCTGAAAATTTGCATCCCCCCCCCCTCCCGCCATATACTAAATCCATCTACATGTTAACAAGGTCCCCAGATGATTCTTACAGATTGTGAGCCTTATAGGTCCCTAGGTGATTAACAATCATCCCCAGATGATTCTTACAGATTGTGAGCCTTATAGGTCCCTAGGTGATTCTTACGTACAATGTCGTTTAAAATGTAGGTTCTAATTCAGTATATAGGAGGACGAAGTGAAAATTATCAGAAGATTGAACTGGAACAAACAGGTTGAAGCCCTGAATTACACACACACACCCGCACGCACGCATACACACATTTTGTTTATGAAAGATAAAGTTCTTTAGGTACCAAACCAAGCAATTAATTATAATCTTTATAACAAATATACCCTACCTAGAATATATTAGAATGAGGATATATTCTAATATAATTAGAATAACAGTCTATTATAATTAGAATAGAATATAAGCTACATGTGCTCAGTATTATAATAATCTATAATTATAACTAAGCACCAAGTAGGAGCCCTGAAGACCTAGTGGTTAAATCCTCAGCTGCTCACTGAATGGTTGGCAGTTCAAACCCACCCGGGGCTCTGGAGGAGAAAAGACCAGGAGATCTTCTCCAGAAAAGATTACAGCCTAGGAAATCCCTCGGGGCAAGTCCTCTCTGTCACATTGGGTTGCCAAGAGTCGGCATGGACTTGATGGCAAGCCAGGGCACAAGTGAAAAGGATGTGAGTGAAAAGAATGGAGACCAGCTGGCCCGAGACATCGCTTGTAAATCCTCATCCTGAAATGCTGCCAGAAGGCTCTCCAGAGCATGGCTTTCCTGTGACACCGAGTCCCCTGAGCTTAAATGCAAGGCCGCGCGTGAAAGTGTCTGGGGGATACTCTTTTCAGGGGTGAGAGAGCAGAGAAGAGGTAGGAGGGCCTTGCTGGGTACCTCTGTCTCAGGCTGGACCACCAGAGTTCACTGGAAGCAGTTGCCATCAAGTTGATGCCTCTTTGTCAAAACAGAACTGTGTTCCATAGGATGTTCAGTGACTGATTTTTGTTTTTTGAAGTACACCACCGGGCCCATCTTCCAAGGTCCCTCTTGATGGAACGAAACCTCTTTGTGGTCAGCAAACTGGCCCATTAACCATATCCTTCACCAAGAGACCTGTCACTAGAATTCACCCAAAACTGCAGGTGCTCACCACATCCCCCAAGCAGCCTACTCCTAAAGCCCACAGACAGACAGGGACCTGGATGTTTGAACTTGTGCCCCAAAGGGCCCTTAGGAGTGTTGCCCCAGTGTAAGCAAGCACACATTTTAGCAACGAGGCCTCCTCTCTTAACTGGTACCTACTGCTTCAAGGTGATTGAAGCGTCCTCTTCCTGTAGAGAGTTAGTCTCAGAATCTCATGGGGGAAGTTCTGTCCTGTCCTATAGGGCGACTATGAGTCACCATGGGTGATAGTGAGTTTGGTTTGGGTTTGCCATCCTCAAAGATGCTTAACCATGTCAGATCTGAGCAGCTAAAATTATGGCCCTACAAGTCTCCACTTCTGTCAGTCAAAACTGGTCAGAAACAGCATTTTGATCCAACCTACTGTTCATAATTATACACCCATGTGTCTCCCGAAGGTGTCACACAAGAATAAGGTCTTTATTCCCTGGCTCTGTCTGAAATCGGAGTTGATGTCAGTCAGGAACCTGATGAAAAAGGTTTTCCTTATGATGGTCTTTTACTCTCAGTGGGTTTAGCAATCATAACACTGAGCTTCACGAGGGAACTCGGAGAATGAGGACATCAGCAGATTATGCACGCCCGTCTTGTCGGAGACACATGGTACTGATATACATCCAACCGATTGCTCTCAAGTTGCCTTCAACTCCCAGCAACCCTGAAGGTCAGAGGAGAACTTGCTCAGGGGTTCCTAGGCCGTCACCTTTATAGACGCAGACCACCACCTCTTTCTCCCTCCAAGTGGACAGCACGTTCAAACCACCGGCCTTTCAGTTAGCAGCGGGGCCACTCACTGATAAGATGGTCAACATAAAACAAAAACAGATGGTCCGAAGTGCAGTTTGACCTAATTAGAGTATCCCATCTCAGGGCCTCGCTCTAGAGTAGATGAAATTCAAAAGATGGCTCTTTTATTGAAATTTTTATTGAGATAATTTCAAGTTCACATGGGACTGTGAGGAATAATAAAGAGACACTATGTGCACTCTAGTTTACCCCAACGGTCATGTCTTGAACTGTGGTACCCCAATCTAGTTAATCCACTTACATTGCTCAGCGCTGCCAGTGCTCCTGGTACTCATTGGTGCGTGTGTGCTTGCGGATTTGGTTCGATCTGGGTTTCCCCTGTGCATGGATGTGTGTCCACCGCCCTAGTACAGATGCTGAACAAAGAGCCTCCTGTTGCCCTCACATCCCCTTGCCTGTCCCTCATCGCTAACCCCTGGCAATCACTAACCTGGCCTCCTATTCTTACATTTCAAAAGTGGAAAATGGAAGCATGCCTCGGGGTCAGGGTGGGGTGGGTGGACCATGTAGCCTTTGGGGACTGGCTTTTTACACTCAGCTTAATTTCTTTGATATTCAGCAGTCCGTTCTTTTTCACTGCTGTCTGGTACTAGTATGGGTACACCACCGATTTTTAACCAGTCACCTGCTAAAAGACATCTGGGATGTTTCTTGTTTGGGGGCTATTATGAATAAAGGTGCCATGAATACCAAGTACAGATATTGGTGTGAACAGATGTTCACACCAGTTCTTCGGGGCAAATAGCAAAGAGCGCTGTTGCTGGCTGGCTCACTTGCTGGGGTACTTGCTTCTTTTGTTTTCTAAGGCACTCCCAAATGGTTCTGAGAATCCTTTATGAAAATGTCTAGCTTCCCGGTGCCTGGCTCTCTGTCCTCTGAAATCTACCTTCTCGTTCCTTTTTGCAGCCACGCCATACCCTGGTGGATTTAAGTGTTTCACCTGTGAAAAGGCAGCAGACAATTATGAATGCAACCGGTGGGCGCCAGACATCTACTGTCCACGAGGTAAACCCCCAGCACCCCCACAGGGGTCCCAGAGTGGTCCGTGAGTGACAGTGCTGTGGACTTGGGTGCTCGCTGGAGAGCCGTTGGTGTGCATGCACTCTCAGGTGCTGCTCTCGCCGGAGGCTCTTTTTACTGTAACAAACAGACATCTATCTTCCCACAGTTTAGGAGCTAAAGGTCCAAATTCAGGGCACCAGTTCAAGTGGAAGATTTTCCCGCTCTACTAATCCTAGGGAAGGCTCTTGTTTTTGTTTTTCAATGTCTGTGGGCCCAGCATTCCCTGGACATTCCCATGCATCTTGGCGCAATCTTCCTCCTGAGTCTAGGTGCTTCTGAGAGCAGGTACCCTGGGTCCAAAGGACAGGCGCTGCTCCCTGCTCTCCTTTCCTGGTGGTAGCTAGATCCCGCCCCTCCCCCACTCCCCATCCTCCCACCAGGGAGATCTTTTATGCCACCTCAAAAAGTTATCATCCAAGACTCTCCAAGACATCAGCTCATCCATCAGACTGCCCCCTTTCTCAGGAAGCATCTTTGGAGTTCCAAAAGAGGCAAGCGGTCCTTCCCACCCCCAGGCTCAGCCAAATGCAGCACAGCTAGCCTGTTGTCCACTCTTATTTGAAGTGTTAGTCATTGCAGAGTAGCCTCCTTCGTGTAAATTAGAAAACGATGTTCATATAAAGAATCCATTCAGCAGTTATATTACACAGACCTTTGTCCTGAAATTACATGAAAGCTGGATTTCTGAATGTCATCATTGAACAAATAAAAATTCTGACTTTTAAAAACTATTAATAAGCTCTCTTTCAAGGATAAGATAGATGCTCACTTGAAATATGAAAAATTGACCCCAAGGTCAAGCTTAGAACGAAGAAGAACCTCTTTTAAACATCTTTTAAGCCCTGTTTTTAAAAAGATGGCTCTATTTGGCAACTGGGACTACTGTTAATGGGTTGATTCATTTGGTGCAGCAGAGCAAAGCTGGGCCATCTTCTCTTGACCCACATTTGAGCAGCTAGCAGCCCAAATCAAATAAGTTCGCTGCAGGTGTCAAAATCAACAGACCACCAACAAATCCTTTGTTTATTTTTCAACATAATGTGTGGGAGCGCTCTCCTACTCAACCCAGTGAATTTCTGCCCCTCTGGTGGATTAGAAATTGGGAGACCAAGGAAACCGCAGTCAAGAGGCAGGTATTGACCACTGTACCCAGTACTGCCTGACCTCAGCTAGAGTCCCCAGTTCGACTGCCCTGGAGCAATACTTGTTAAGCTTTTAAAAACCACTGGAGTGTCTGCCCTGTCTGTGTAGGAGCATGCTAGTTGCAGTCAAATTGGAGCTGACGAATGACGACCTCATCTGTGTGCGCTCCTTCGGGTTTTAATGGTTGAGTTTCCCCAAGTAGGTTGCCAGGCTCTGTTCCTACTTGCCTTTTGCCCAGAGTTGTACACAACCCACCAACATACGTGTGTGTGTGGTGTGTGTGTGAACAGCCAGTCCATGAACTACTTACACCACCCGGTGTCCTGTCTACAAGTTCCTGAAAAGGGGGCTCAAACTTCAGCATGCGGCTATTTCCCTGAGAGGCTTGTTGAAGCAGATGTCTGCCTCCGACCAGGGGTCTGATTCAAAGAGGGGGAGCAAGCCCTGCAAATTTGCGTTTCTATCAATTTTCCCAATGATGCTGCTGCTGCTGGAGCAGGGTGTGTGCTTACCCAGTAAACAAGGTAAGCACAGGCTCACTCGATCTTACTTTCTGATCTGTAGTGAATCATTTCACATGGTCGATTTCACATCAAAGATAAGGCTATAAAAACAAACGTGAAACTCTTGACTACCGGTTAGCAAGTATGCCCGAGTCAGCTGCAAACACAGTGAAACCCCTGTGAAATGATTCACTGCAGATTAGTAGGTAAACACAAGTAAGCCTGTGCTTACCTTGCTTAATGGGTGCTCCAGCGCTGAAGTGACCCCCCTGGATGATTCACAGCTCTACCTCTGAGTCTGCATCTCTGCGTGGGGGGAGGAGCCGTCATTAGGATTTAATAGAGAGCGAATTGTTGCATTATCATATTTCCACCTTTTCCTTGTCCGATCATAGGCAGGTCTGTAAATAAAAAGAACCCACTGCCCTCAATTCCATTCTGACCCCTAGCGGCCCTGGGGGACAGAGGAGACCTGCCCCTGCGAGCTTCCGAAACTGTAAATCTTCATGGGAGTGAAAAGCCCCGTCTTTCTCCGATGGAGCAACTGATGGTTTTGACCTGCTGGCCCTGTGGTTCACAACCCAGTGAATTATCCACCAGGCCCCATACATGTGCCATTAGGGTCCTAAAAGCCCACAGGGAAGAAAGACAGGAGGAGACACTAGGGACTATCTAGTCACAAGCTAGCTGGCCCGCCATTGCGTATGACTCCACTCCCCATTACCTTTAGGACTCGCTGGGTGATTTCTGGAAAAGCCAAATATTACTGCTGTAGAACAAGGGTGCCTGAACTGGGGGTGGTGGGTGGTGGGGGTAAACCACAGATGTTCAGAATTGGCTGCACACTGAAATCACCTGGTAAGTTTCAAATCCTGGTGCCTGCACACCGCGGTTAAGCACTCTGCTGCTAGTGGTCAGCAGTTCCAACCCACCACCAGCCGGTGCAAGAACCAAGGTGGCAGTGTGCTTCTGGGTAGACAGCACCCTTGGAAACACAACAGGGCAGTTCTCCTCTGTCCTGCAGGGTCGATGGTCTGAATTAGAATGGATTCAAGGGCAGTGGGTTTGGTGTTTGGTTTGGTACTGCTCCCATAGGCGATTGGTATGGAGTATAGCTCGGCATGGAGCCCCGGTGGTGTCGTGGTTACACATTGGGCTGTTCATCTCAAGGTTGGCTGTTCAAAGCCAGCAGTCACTCCACAGGAGAAAGATGAGACTTTCTACTCCCAGAAAGAATTCGTCTCAGAAAAACCCCAAGAGCAGTTCTATCGTGGCCTCCAGGGTGTCTGATTCGGCAGCCAAACCTGAGAAGAGCTGGGTGATGCCTGCTAGCACCAAGCTACACGGTGATTAGCATGTGCATTCAGGACACCTTGGGCTCCTGGCTGGGGGGCCAGGGCAAGGCTAAGAAATTTGCTGTCAGCATGCCTGCTGCTCAGAGCTCTTATGCAGGAAAGGGAGGATGCTCCTCTTCCGGTCAAGTTAGCACTGCAGCCAGATAGCAGAGAGCATGCATAAGAAGGGGGTCGGAGCGCATTGTGAACGGGAGCTCTCTGCCGCCTCGGTCTGCATGTCACAGAGCCAGTCCAAGTCTGATGGTGGACAATTACATCCCTCATCCCAGAGGGAGAGAGGTGAGTGGTAGCGCTCTGGCTTCAGTTCCTCCCAAGAAAGATGGGACATTCCCTTGCAATGCTTGCTTTTGAAGTCAAAATCCACTCTTTCAAGTGAGGGCATTTTTAGGACCATGAAACTATTCTGCAGGAAACCACGGTGGAGCGCACAAGCCATTATGTATTTGTCCAGATCTGTAAGATGTCACACAGTGACCCCCTAATGGAAACTACATTCTTTACTTAGTCATAATGTACGAATTTCTACCATCCTGAGACACGATAGCAACAGGAGATACAATGTGCAAGGGGCCAAAAGGAGATGCAGAAAGGGAACTTGGTCCTTTCACTACACTGTTTCTTGTAAGCCCCCAATTTCTCTAAAGCACAAGCTCTCTGTAGACTCTGTCGAAGTGCAGATACCCAGAAATATCACAGGTGGTCTTTTTTTTTTTTTTTTTCAAAGTAAAAACTTCTGTTTTTATCCCCTCAAAGTTTTATCTCTAGTGAATCCACAACTAAAACAAACAAACAAACCCATTCAAGCATCTTACCTGCCTGAGAGGCTAAGCCTAACCACATACAGCATTGCAGCCACTAAGAGTCCTGGTGCGTGAAATCCACTCACCTTGAGACTTCACATATGGCCTTATGTAAATGATCTTTCGTACTTCTTCTCCCTCCCACTTTCATCTCTTTGCCATTACACTTATAAGATAAATAGAAAGTCTTGCATTGCAGCACACAAGGCAAAAAAACCCAAAACCACTTGCCACGTCCGGCCCTGTGGGGGATTATGCCGTGAAAAGCAAGCCTGTAAGTAAGTAGTCCATTTAGCTGGGACAGCTAAGATTGGAATGTATCAAATATCAAAACTAGCAGGACAAAGGTCACTGTCCCAAAGGACAAGGCATTAGTTGCTATCCGGGTGTAGCAGCAGAAGAGCTACTATGAATGGATGCTCTGCCCCTTCTTGTCCATGTCTCTTGGGACAGCGATGTCACCATACCCTCACTCCAAAAAACCCACTGCCATCGTGTCCACTCTGACTTCTAGTGACCTTGTAGGGCAGGCTAGAACTGCCCATGGGTTTCCAAGAACGTAACTGAGTCGATGCCGACTCATCATGGCCCTATAGGACAGGCTAGAAGGGCCCTGTGCGTTTCCGAGTCTGTAACTCTTTATCGGCGTAGAGAGCCCTGTCTTTCTCCCACGGAGCAGCTGGTGGTTCCAAACTACTGACTTTCCCCTTAGCAGCCCGACCCCTAACCACTATGCCACCAGGAAGGGGAATTGCTGGGCATCGGTGTGCCCACTCTGACATTACTACAAACTACCTCACCATTTCCAGGATGGTCCAACAGCTCACCAGCAGCTCACAGAAGTGCCCGTTTGTCCCCAAGGCTGCCAGCTCTTGGCACTGACAGGAAAAGGGAAGGGAATGCATTTTGAAAGCACCGGAAGTAGCATGCAACCAGCCTAGGCCTTCACAGAACCTCAGTCTGACTCTTCTGTCCCTCCCATCTCGTCTGGCTGCACTGGGAGCTCTGAACTCCTGGTTTCACCTCCCAAGCCATTAAAAACAGTGCTGCAGGGTCTCACAGCCTTTCCACCTGGGCAGCCTCTGAATCAGCACAGGCCTCTCAGAAGAACTGCTATCACATGGTGGGCTCGCCTCAATATG